TTATATTTTTAAGTACACATATTTCCAGACGAAAGGAAAATAATTTTTCCGCTTGTTTGTGAATCGGTTAAATATCATATTTCTTTCAAAAGTAATCCTTTCGTTTCTTTCTCTCCTATTCTAATTTAATAATTCTCGAATTGAAAGTTGAAAACTTTGACGGCTTAAAAGCATCTGCTCTGAATACAAATCGCGTCAACAACTGCCGCCATTTTTATTATGTCTGTCGTTTTAATGCAATTTATTCTCCATTATTTATTCTCTTTCTTCGCGAAAAAAATGCCTGTACACAATTATTAACAATTTCCTCGTGAAAATTTTTTTACATCCTATCATATATATTTGCTGTATATGATAGGAAATTGAAATCGTGGTCCAATTAATTGGAAATGAATATCGACGAGTTATTTATTTTACGTTCCACGTAATTGATTAATTACTACGATAAAATTTAAACGTTAACTTTATCGTAAAATATTATCATAATTAAAAATAAATATTGTAAGATTTAATATATTCGAAGATTAAAACGAAGTGCTTGATGTTATATATTTTGAATTTTATTTAAAATTTCGAATTTTTAAAGCATTGATCTCTCAAATTTTCGCCAACTATCAATTCTCAAAGTATCGAATTTTCAAAACATTTGAATTTCGAACTTTCTCAGAGTATTGAACTCTCAAATTTTCGAAAATTTTTGAATTCTCGAAGAGAATCCAATTCTTGGAACTTTAATTTTAAAAATTTCGAATTCTCAGAGCATTGAATTCTCAAATTTTCGAGAGCTTTGAATTTTTAAAATATCAAATTTCCAGAACTTTCAACTCTCAAAATTTCGAATTCTCAGAGCATTGAATTCTCAAATTTTCGAGAGTTTTGAATTTTTAAAATATCAAATTTCCAGAACTTTGAATTCTCAAAATTTCGAATTCTCAGAGCATTGAACTTTCAAATTTTCGCGAGCTTTGAATCCTTTGAAAATTTTCAAGAACTGTGAATTTTTAAAATATCGAATTCTCAAAACTTTGAATCCTCAAAGTTTCGAATTTCCATAGGATATTAAAGAATCGCTTCTAATGTAATAAAACTTCAAATATTCAATCAAATTTATAAAATTGGAACGAGCTTATTATACTAACGTAATAATAAATATTTTCTTCCAAATTATTATTATTATTATTATTATTTTTTTTTTTTCTAATTTTTATCTCCTTCTCACAATTTCTTATATACAATTCATATACAATTTCTTGTATATAAAAAGAACTTACTATATACAATACACTATAATACACTTGTCATAAAAATCCATTAATGATCATATCGTATCATGAACAAAAAAAGAATCATTACTCGCGTTGACAACAACGACACGTGTGCTACGTTAGACTAGTTTCTAGATAAATGAAATAAAATAAAATAAAATGAACGAAAAAGCAGCGAGCGAGCCGAAGGACTGACTGTTAGTTAAGCATAGCGCGAGAACCTTAATTATCAGCTTCAGTTACGTATACTATCGTAAAAGAAAAAGAAAAAAAAAAAAACGCTGTCTAAGAAAAAAAGAAAGAAAGATAAAAAAATGGAGTAACAGGTTTATATAGGAGACAAGTATTTCCGTGAATTATATGTATACACATTGTACGTCGTATTTATATATATACACACACACGGTATAACGCGCAACTTCCTTTTTCTAGTACGTTTTATTAAAAACTACACACACCGTTCTGATTGTTACCGAGTGCTAAACCATTTTGTATTCTCGTTGTAAATATAAAAATAAAATAAAAGAAAAGAAAAGAGAAGAAAAAAAAAAGAAGAACACACGACGATTTGTAATCGATATGCGCATTAGAATATAATCGCAAGTAGAAGGATCTACTACCCTCTACTCTGCCCAGCGTATTTTGATATGATTTCGACTTTAGCGCAATACGTCGAACAATATGTCGATTAGAAATAAATTTAAGAGCGAGTGAAAAAGAAAAACGAAGCTCCTTGGTCGCCAATTAATCGTAAGATCTTAGAATTTTTAATTATACGATTCAAAGCATATAATAGCTTTTCTTTTTCTCTTCGAATCGAAACCTGATCAAGTTGTTCTGCCTTCATTATCTGCTAGTCCAATTCGATTTTTCTGAAATTGATTTTAATATTGTTTATTAAATAATTCTTCTTCTTTAAATAAATTATTCTTCTTCTTTAAATATTGAACGTGTACGAAGAGTTTGGAATATTTTTTCCAAAGCAAAATTATTACAAGTTATTTTCCAACATTGTAATAATCATCGAGTTACTTTTTTATTACTTTTCTTATTGTTATAGTTTACAGAATCTGTAAACGTTTTATTATTAATTCTTTTTAAAATTCTCAATATTCTTTTAAATTTCTAAATGTAATATTTGTACGTACAATTTGATCATTCATCAGCTGGATTATTTTATCTCATTTTTTAATAACCTACGGTTATGCACAAACTTTGTCTCGGTTTAGAATTTCAGTTGCACGAAAAAACGTAGTTTTGTCCAGAATCGAACGAAAGGATTATAGCTCTGCGTTTGCGTACCGTCGTTGTATTATTATTTTATCGCGAGAGAACAAACTCTCTGAGCGGATTTCGCCGCGTGTCGATAAGCATGTTAGAATCGTTTTCTAGCCGTGTATCGAGTATTTTTCATCGTCGAACTACCCCTGCGTAGTTTTGTACAAGGACCAATTCGTTCATAGACCAAAAACCTGTAACCTCGTAATCGTTGTGCATTATCAGTTGTGGAGAAATTTATGGCCCAGAGTAAAAATTCGAATGTCTTTTTCGTTCCCAGAAAGATCAATATTTAATTTTTCTCATTTTCGATCAAACTTTCGAATTTTCGGCGTTTCGAATTTATAGAGCTTTCGAATCCTTTTTTCGAATGCTTCGAAATTCTAGGATTCAAAATTAAAAATTAACTCGAAAATCGTGGTCAATTGTATAATCATACGCCACTGTACTCGCTCAAAACGGAAACGCGTGGACGTTCGAATTATTATCCTTGGGCCCGAATTAAACTCGAATTTTAGGCGAGCGTATTCGTGAATCTCAGGTTTTTTGCTTTTCATTTTATAGTAGTCGTTTCTAGTTCCCCTCTTCTGCTGCGTTCTACAGATACCTGCGATCTTCCCCATTTTTAACCCTCCGGTATATTAACGCCAAAGTACGATGATTGGATCAAATTACGTGACCCAAATTAGATTCAAATTTTATCTAATTTTCCAATTATCCAATTATCCTCGATTCCTGTTGGCTACACACATATATATATAGGTCAAAAATGACCCAACCATCGAACGACCACGAGGGTTAAAGGATTCTTGTACAGAGAACCTTGTACTCGCGCGTGAACGTACATGTTATACTCGATGTGCATATTATATACACCGGAAGTTTAGCCGCAACGTCCACTTCTTCCTCGCGCGTTCCCCGCGCGTGCGATTTGTAAATACTTTGGTATGCGTGTGCCTACTTCGTCTGATAGTGTTTAATATTGTTATGTATATACATACATACATACACACACATATATATATATATATATTATAAATATATATATATATATATACATTATATACGTATATCGTATACAAGGGTACCTTGTTGAATGACTGAACGAATTAAGGAAAAACTAAAAACCAAAAAAAAAAAAAAAGAAGAGAGAAAAAGAGGAAAAAAAAATTAATCGCATGAAACTAATTGTCAATTACGAAAAGAAAAAGGGGGGAGGAAAAAGAGGAAAAGAGAAAGAAAAATACGAGGAGTTTTACACGAGAAAAGGAAGGAAGAATTAATTGATGAAAATTAATCGATGATTATACAGTATATATACTCGTTGCGCGCGTTCAATGTGTAATGTACGGCCTGTGCATAATTCTAAATTAGATACAATCAAAGTAATCTCCGTAGGCCTATACACCTATACATATATATATATATATATAAAACGTAATATATCGTATGTATGTAACCAAGCGGATTATGTATGTAAGGGATACATTCGAATGTATATATATATATATATATATACGTAATATGTATGTTGTAAGCACGTAGCACGGGTAAAGTACTATTTTGCCTTCGTCAGAGTGTGATAAATTGTGTAATAATTGAAATGTGATGCTGTGCTTCGGTGCGTGTGATGATTACATACCTGTGTGACTCTTGATGGCGTTATATCCTCCGTTTTTAAATTAAAATTGCGTAAAGAAACGGGAGCTTTATTATTCAAACTAGTATTTTACTCGAACTTGTAACGTGTTGTAAACCGATTTGAACAGAACGAATGTAATAACATAGATAGGTGATTTTCCTCGATGATAGACATTATATATACCACGTGTCTACACGCGTATATCGAATTTGCGATCTATTATTCGTATTCCTTTGCTCGACTTATAATGATGTAAATAACGAGATATTTTATGTATTCTATATTTATTGTGTATATATACATGGAGGTTTAATTAATATAAATAACACGATACACCGATTTTATTCGTTATTCCACTGTCTCGTGTGGAAAGAAAATCGACGAATATTTATCATATTTTCGTTCGAAAATACAAGGGTATCGTTTGCGATGGATGAAGATAAGTCGAAAATACGGGATTCGACATTTTTTTTTTTCTTTCTTCTCTCATTGTTTTCGAGAGGCTCTCTTGAACTTCTCTTTTCTATTATTTCTTTTCAATGCTCTTATCATATTCTCGTATAGAAATGTAATAATTCTTTGGTGGAAAATTTTGATCCTTTATTTTCGAGAACAATGATATAATTTAATATTATGTAATTTACTGATCGAACAAAATTTGTTCTTTCAACGCATCCATCCATCGCGATGTGAAATATAAACATTCAAAGCGTCGAGCGTCGAATTAGCTCGGAACAAGGATAAGGGAAGAGAACGTTCTAAGTTTTACTTATATTTACAAAAGATCCCGTAGCATCCGTTATTTTGTTATTCTACGATTGTACCGCACGCCATCGTTAAAAAAAAAAAAAAGATTAAAAAAAAAAAGAAAATAAGGGATGCCTGAGCGTGAAAATCGAGAACGAAATTTGAATGGCGCGTGGTTTTAAATAAATAATAATTTATTTAGATACGCATCTAGATTAGGATGAGGGTAATTTTAAATTAAATCTAATCGAGTACACACGTGCATTTGGTATGTTTTTTCCACGAAGTTACTAAGTCTGATGGTAAGAAACGAATGTCATCACAGGATACGTAATAATAATAATAATAATAATAATAAAAAAAAATATCGATCTATAAATATGTTTGTGAATATACTACGTATTGCATCCCCCCTTGAATTTTTTCTTCCATCTTTTCTTCCATCCGGAGAAAGATCGTTGTTTTTTTCCATTTAAGGAAAAATTTTTTTCTTTTTTTCAAATTAAACAAATTTTCTTCAACTCCTCCATCCAAAAGAATCGTAATTCCATTCCATCCACGATTCAACAACGACTCTCCATTTTTTTTTGGCATATTTCGATTCAAATATTTACACTTTAAAATGTGAACATGGTGCGTGAAGATTCCACGTACGAAAAAGTGACGAAAAAGTGAAAATAGAACAAACTAACAAAAAAAAAAAAAAAATAAAACATCGTTCATTCAATCCTCCCTTCGAAAAACAGAGAAACATGCTCGAAAATCAAACGTCCCTTAACGACTTTCCCCAAAGAATCTTCTCATGCCTGACAAAATTTCCTTTACGAACGATCTTCCTGTTCTCCCTTTAACTCTTCCTCGACAGTTCCTGGAAGAACGCCTCGATCGGTAAAGTGGGCTCGTCAGTGGGGATCTTGAAGTGAGAGGCGGCTATTCTACTCTCGGGAGACACAGCTTTGAACATTCCAGGCTTGTCGTAGAGAGCGGAAGCGGAACTGGTCAGATCCGCAACGCTCTGCGACGCTTTCGCGAACAACTCCTCCTCCTCCGAGCGTATCTCGAATTTCGTCGTGCTCTCCACCACTCCCTTGCCCCCAATCTCGGTCGTTCCCTCGACCCTTGCCGTCGAATATTGTTCCGTGATCCCCGAGCTTTCCCTCAATTGGCTCTCGTCCACGGATTTCTCGGTGACGACAACCGGTTCTTCCTCCTTCTTCCCATTCTCCATCCGAGAACCCGGCCCGATCGTCTCACTCTCGATTTCCGCTTCCTCCTTCGGATCCGATCTCGTCGTTGGAACGCTCGTCGAGTCGCTTGCTCCCCCTTCCTTCTCCCCAACCTCGTTCCTCCCTCCACTCGTAGTGGTCACCGCCGAGTAGAAACTGGTCTCCTCCGCGGCCATTTCCGTACCCTCGGCTTCCCTCTCGTCCGGATACGGGGCGGTCGAGCTCTGAGGGGGCGTCAATCTGCCCTTCATCACCGGTCGCCGCCGCACCGATGACGAGAACACGTTCTCGGGACGGGCGGTGCTGGGCCTCGATGGAACGTTGGCATCCGTTTCGAAATGATTCCGATTGGGGACTGGGCTGGACACCCTGCTCCTGTACACGTTGCCGTTGACGGGCCTCCTCTTCGGCACGAAACGGTTCGATCTCTCCGTTGAGGAGGACGTCCCCTCCTCCGTCACGTACTCCTGATCCTTGGGAGGAGGATTGGGCGAGGAAGTCCTGTAATTCACCCTCGAGACGTACTTGTACCTTCCCGTCGTCTCCCTGCCGCCACCATCTCCTGCAGAGCCCTGCTGGCTCTGTTGAGTCTTGGGAGCGGCAGAGCCTCTCTGCTTGGGCGGCTCGGTGCTCGAGATCTGAGCCAATCTGCTCTTGTAATCCATCCGGCTCTTGTAGTCCTTGATGCTGAACCGCGGCCTGGTCGCGTTCCCGTACCTGATCGGCCTGATCTTGTGGGGTCTGACGGAGCTGGAGGGTGGCGGCTGCGTGCTGGTCGGAGCCGCGGTCGTGGCCACGTGGCTCTGGCCATCGCCGGCCAAACTGCTCGCCGCAGTGGACGAAAGTGTCGCCCGATCCAAGTAATTGCCCTCCGTTCGTCCGAACAAGTCCTCGAGGGGGATATTCGTGGCCACGTCTGATGGATTGTAACTCGTCTCCAAGTTGTTGGGATCCTCGTGCGGGATCTTCGTTCTGCTCGACTCGGTGTAATACTCCAACGGGATGCTCGGTGTGACGCTCTCCACACCTCGTTGCCTCTCCTCCACCGTCGCCAACCTCTGCGACTCTGTGTAATAATCGAACTGCTGCTGCTGCTGATCAGGCTGGCCATTGGTCGAGAATTGGTTGTACTCGTTCGTAACGGTGTACGGTTGAACGGGTTCCGTGGGGCTCTTGTACGTACTCAGAGGCGGGTGAACGATCTCGGTGACGATCTCGGCCTCGAACGGCTCCCCGGGATTCACTCTGTTCCTGTGACCGGGTCGTTTCCTGATGTTGGTCTTCTTCTCGGTCACGCCCACCTCCTCGAGGCTGGGCAACGTGGCAGCAACGGGCTTGATCCGCCTTTTCTTCGCGATGTCAACCTGACGCGCTGCCTCCTCTTCCTGCTTCTCGTATCTCAGCAGGTCCGTGGACGGTTCCGTGACAGTGGGCTCAGTGGTGGGAGCAGCGGCCGTGGTCGTCGGTCTTCTTCGTCGCAACGGCGCGCCCGGCCTTCGAGTTCTCGGCCTCGGCTGAGTCACGGTTTCCGGCGCGGCGGTCGTCCGCGATCCTACTTCCTCCCCGCGAAGCGTGACAGGAACCGGGGTCTCTGGAACTTGGAGCGGAGCTTCCGTAGACGGTGGTGGCTCGTACACCGCGGTGCTCGGTTTTCGCCGTCTATATTGATCGCGCGACGGCTTGTGCGGCCTTTGGGGCCGTAAATCAGCAGCCTGCTGTTCCTCCCGGTAATTCGTTTGGTCCGCCTGATTCTTCTTCGAGATATCTTGGTCCGTGGGACGGTCTGGGAAAACTTGCGGCTCGGGTTGGGTCACCTGTAATGGAATTTTGAAAGTTCGATGAAAAATTTGGACGACGTGATCGAGATACTTGGAAGCATCCTCGAAGGAAGCTTGTTGAATATCGTTCTTTATGATATCAAAGTGATTCTTGATGAATTAAAATGATTTTTAATCGTCTCGAAAACGTTTGATCGAGATCGAGAATTCCACATCAATTGATGCAGAACAGAAGAAATGATGCAAACGATAATCCGCATTAATAAACTATTAAACAATTCTACGTTAATTAATTAAAATCCTAACTTCTATAAATTTCTCAGTGGTACGGGGGAAAAGCCAAACTCCCATTACGAAACGAAATCAATTCCAAACTTCTCTTCTCTCCCAGGAACACCAAGGTATCCCCCTTCTGTTCTATATTTCCACGCCCAGAAGTGCGTATATTTCGTCCCAACGATACCATCCCGTGCAATTCATAAGTAAAACCAAAAAGTAAAACGAAAATTAATCGTCGGTTTCCGGAAGTTGCGGTTTGGCCAAATATTTTACAAAGTCCCGCCCACGAAACAAAAAGAACTACCTGAGACTGTTGAACCTTTGGCTGCTCGCCAACGCTGCTCTCCTCGGTAATCACTGCCGCCGCCGCCTCGTCTGTGCTAACGTTCGTGATTTCATATCCGGCCAACTGGATCGTACGAGGGGGTTGCTGCCCCTCCTCCTCCGTGACTTTGGCCAATTTCTCCGTCTGGTTCCTCGCGGATTCAACGGCGAGCCTGGCCTCCTCCTCCTCCTCCTTCTCCTCCTGCTTCTGCCGCTCCAAAAGTTGCCTCAACTCCTGCTGCCTCCTCTTCAACTCCTCCTGCTGCTGCTTCTCGATCTCCAATTGCTGTTGCCTCTCCTGCTCGGCCAATCTCTGCCTGTCCCTGTGCAGCAACTGTTGCTGGATCAGGTATTGTTGCTCGTTGAAGTGTTTCAACGATATACTTTCCGGTGTCTCGTATTCCGGGTCGCCGTTTTCCGGCCGAACGTCTATAGGGATCAGCGAACTTTGGAACTGGGGCTGTTGGGTCTGGGGCCCTATGAACACCACCTTCGGCGCTTGGGGGATCTGGTTCGAAACTATGCCCTCTTGGTTGAACTTGGACGGCGGATTGACTCGAGGCAGAACCTCGTTTATGTCTGATGGATACTTGCTCTTTGGAACTGGCGGCCAGGCGGAGGGCGGAGGCGTGAGATCCTGCGATTCTGACACGTAGTACGTGTTACCGATCCCGGCTGTGGGCAGGATTTCCTGCGCGGCGCCTGTTTCCACGTTCTGCTTGCTGGCAGAGCCCGGCCTCTTCAAATCCTCATTCACCGATTGCTGGCGATACTTGTTCGATTCCTGTACGGTACGAGGTGTGGTAGGTGCCGTCGTGGACGAGGAGTACACGTCGGGTGGCAAAAGAGTCTCGTAGGGCAGCGAGGGTCTGAAGTTGAACGGGTTGTACACGGAAGGTGGGGTGATATAACTGATCTCGTGGCTCTCGTGCACCAGAAACGCGGGATCCCTCTCGTAGGACGTCTTGTAACCGTGGCCAGGATGATTCACCTGACCGAAGAAGTTATTGGCTGGGCTGATACTACCGTGTTCGTTGTGGAACTTGTCGAAATTCTGCCTGTGATCGCTCAGCCTTTTGTCCTTTCCGAAATCGTTGGCCGGCCCCGTGCCAGGTGGTTGGAAATACGGTTTCGGATTGGCGGACACTTTCAACGACTCGAAAGGCTTCACGTGGTATCTAGGCGGTTGGAGCAATTGCGGGACGTAAGGCGCGTCGTAGTGCCTGTTCTTCGTGGTGCTCGGTGAGGAGGGTGAGTTGGTGGTGGAGGTGTATCCCTTGATAAAATACGTGGCCGCCTTTATTGGATCCGGGGCTTGATGGAACTGCGGTTGCCGCAAGAATGCCGAGCTGTCTCGTAAGATCGGCTTTCTGTGCTGGTCCAAGTCGAAGCGGTATGCGTCTTTCGGCGGTGGAATCAGGAACGTGTAGTCCCTCGTCTCGGACGCGACGTGTTTATTATTCGCGTTCTTGTGGCTTGATTGCGCATCGCCACGAGCCTTGGCCGCCGCGTGGCCGAGAACCGTGAAACTGCCTAATATACTGGGCGGGTTATAGTCGTGATGGGAGGCTGGTTTACCCTTTCGTTGCGGTTTCAACTTTTCCGAGGCGGCCATGTGCTCTTGAAGCTTGCCCAGCACTGGGTGCAGGGGGCCACTCCGCTCCAGGTTGCTAGATGGCGACACGTTCGTGCCTATGGTGTCCTCGTAGGCGTTGGTCAGAGGGCGCCACCCGTTTGCAATCATCGACGGCCGCGTTGGTGGCTGCAAACGCGATGTCGTTAGAGTTGGGTTTGCGGGCTTGTGGAGAGTTTAGAGGGCGAGAGTTCAGTGTCGTACAGATTCGGATTAAAAATAGTACTCGTTCATTATGCACGTTGCAAATTTTGATTTTATATCCGAATGTTTGTGGTGTTTTCTACGATGGAATAGTTTTTTTATGTCGAAATTTTTATGAAATTACTCTCCAAAGGGAGAATAACTTTCAGGATTTTTTCCAATTTTGAAGATATTTTTCACGGAATCGAGATCAAAGATTAAGACGTTTTGTAATTTAAAATTTTACTCTATTAATCTCTAATTTATGGGATTGGTTTTGTTGATTAATGTTTGGAGAAATGAAGAGATTTTTGAACTACGTAACTATTGATCGGATTCTGGATTTTCTATATAGTACTTGGTGGATGAAACATAGTGAGATCGTGGGATATTGTAGGTGGTGTAAAGTATAATGGAGTTTAGGGATATTGCCTGGCTCAAAGCTGTGAAGAAGTAATCTGTATTATATGTGGTTTCTTTAGCTACTCTATTCTTGAATATTTTCTGTTTGCCTATGCCAGACGAATTTTTCTTATCGCAATGCATTTTTGGATATTAGGTATTGTCGTGTATCAAAATGAGAATATAGAGAGGATTTCTTTTCAATTCGTAAAGTGGATAAAATGCTCGTATATGTATGTATATTCTGATGCAACAATATCCATGAATTCTAGCATAGTTTATGATTTACGATTTATTTTTGAGAGTTTGATTTTTAAAATTTTGATTATTTATAAGTGTCTTTTAATATTATCAACCGACCGATCAATTTTACGATTTCGTTATATTTTATTCATCTATATATTTAATTTAATTTAAAAATAATTTTTGATTATTTGTAAAAATATCGTGGAATGACGAGTTTCACGGAGATAGAGTGAATTTCGAGCCGAAGTGAACATTTTTTAAAAGCTTTTTTTTCTGATTCTATAGATCTATCTAGATCTGTATGAATGGATTTAACGATTTAACGATTTATTGTTTCAAAAAGCAAAATTTCCTGTATTGTGTATAGCTGTGATTCATATTTTAACTAAAAAAAAAAAAATTTTTTTAAAGGCAGAAAAAGCTTTAATTCTCAAATTACACCAGTTGCAATTGGTATAATTTTGATATTGGAAAAATTAAAAATTTTGAAGTACAATTCATCGCGTAAAGGTTGAAGTTTTTTAACCAGGAAGCTTGAATGTAGCGACTTGATCCAAAGCGCTGCGCAGAGAGCCAAGTATCGATTGAAGAAATTGGATAAATATTAGCTAAAAATTTACGTCATTCCAACAACCCGCAGAAAAACGTTTAAAGTACATGAATCGGCTGTTATGGATCGTGTACATTAGCTTAAAATAGTTTCAAAGGTTTTACAAGTTTCAATAACATTGTTTGTCTTTCTAAATTCTTTTTAAGTTTAATAGGTGCACTCGAAAGATTGATGCTTCCATTTACATTTTTTTCTTCCTCTTCTTCTTCCCATTAACGTAATTGTAAAACATTTTACGAAAATTATTACCTTTTTCCTAATTTTGTTAAATATTATTTGACCAAAGTAAATTACATTATAGAATAAAAATGTCTGATATGATACCAGGTATAATAACTCTTAACTCAATTATAAAATTACACCACGAACTTATTAAAATAATTCAATTGTGATTAATTTCCTCGACAGTGCGTCCAATTAATTCGTCCAATTTATGTAAAAAAAAAAAAAAAGAAAAAAAAGAAAAATGAAATAATTTTCCACCAACTCGACACAAACAAAAGAAGTTTCATAGCAAACATGTCAAAATGTTCACTTCCTCTTCACACTTTCCCCGTTTTAACATAATTTAACCACACCTGTGTTTGGCAAACAAACCGAGGCAAACCACTGCAACTTTTACCACCTCTGGCAAGAACAATTAATTGCCTTTGTTACGTTATCGTTATTCATTCTACTTACCGGTTTGTTATCGGAACGGTCTATCGACACGGTGATTGCACCGATGCAGGTGAAGAGGCCCATCGCGAGGACACCTGTGGTATTTTGCGTAACAAGCGTGAAAACAGAGTGTTAATCATCCCTTGGAAAAAAAAAAATTTAATGGAACATTTACAATTTTTTAGGAATTTTTAAAAAATGAACTTTACCTGCATCAATTTTTTCTATTATAAATTAATTTCTGAAATCTAGTGTATTAATTTTTTAAATTTCGTCCTCTTTTTCTCTTTCATAAAATTATAATGCTTTAGCCTCTTCATCACTTTGACATTTCAACCTTTTTAATTTTACAATCTCGACTTGGAATATTAATAGGATATAAAAAGAAATCAAATTGTTTTGATGATATTAATAATGGATGTTTATGGATAATTTAAATTTTAAAGGAAAACAGGTTATTCTCCATTAATGCATCTACCAATAAATAACTTGCTGATGCAATCTTAATTCCAAAATTTTCTTTATCCTATTTTCTTTCTTATTCGAATAAAGAAAAAAAAAGAAAACAAGTTTTTCGAAACTTACAAATAAAAGTAATAAGAATAAGAGGAAGTAGATAATCAATCGACTTACAATTGAACATTAATGTGGACCGCATCGTGACAGACCATGGGGCCATTTACGCGATCGTTCTGCAACAAAAACATCGGTCGATCGTTAGACAAAGTCAGCATTGTATCGAGTGAAATTGGCCGATTACGAAAGTGTGAGGGGAACAGCTCCCCCCGATTGTCGAGTAATAGGAAGACAGGAAAGGTGCAGCTCGATAAAAGAGGAGAAAGGAAGTATAGAAAGCGTCCGGTTTTATGCGCAGTTTCCGCCCGCTATTTTGTCATTTCTCTACGAAATCAAGGCAACAGTGAAACTCTGCAACAGAAGACGGAAGAATTTCTCTACGACTTTTACGACTCTGGCCTGCTCTGCCCTCCATTTTCTGAAATTTCCTTACTTAATGTCACGAGCTTTCGTTTCCTCGCGTGTGAACCGGAAGTGGATGGATCTCGAATGATTCTCCACGATGGAGACTTTTATCGAGTGACTGTTGCTGAAAATTTTTTTCTGAATATTGCCATATTTGTTAGAAATGAATTTTATTTATTAGTTGTATACCGCTTTGGTTATCTTTATTTGTAAATTTGAGGAGGGTTTATTTGTAAATTTGCGTGTGCAATTTGATGCAGTAGATTTTTTTATTGGAGGTGAAATTTTATATTGGGTTTTTTGAAATTTAAACGACATCGTGCGAGAACTCTCTTGTTATAATTATCCAGAAATTTTCCAGAAATTGATTAAATCGTTTGTATTTCTTGGATATTTTTATATTTCCTGATTAAACAAGAAACGAATCTACCTCGAGACGTAAAAAGATAATAATTAAGCCAATTATTGAAATTTTGTAAAGAATGAATTGACAGAAGAAAACTAGTTTCTTTGTTGTGAGAATATTTCCTTAAGTAGTTGTTTTCTTTTATTCTCATTAAACTAGTCTCTTTTAAAAAAGCGCGCGAAAATGACAAATAATTAAAGTTACAATAAAATTTATATCATTAGGTTACGGATAGTTAGATTGTAGAACATCAAAAGTAAGATCTTCAGATGTAATTGACATAATTGACATAAAGTTGACAAATATAATTTGATCGATTTCTTGATGCCAACGCGAATTGATTCGTCAATTCGTTAGATAAGATTGTTTAAGAAACGTTGATTAAATTTTTACCACGATTATGATAGCGCGATATAATTTCACTCAGGCGTCCAAGGGCGTGAAAATACGAGGAATAAATTAATCGTTTGAAAAAGTTCAACTTTCTCTTATTAATTTTCTAGGCTTGAACTCTGACGTAAATAATGGTACACTTTTCACACGAGGAGCGAGTGAAAAACAGAGAACTGGCTTCGAGTCAATGTAATATAGAGAGTGTTATTTTGTACGTATTCTGATCGAAACTTATTCGTGATTTCGTAAATGTGACAATTGATGAATATATTATATAATCGAGATTATAATATTATGTCACGTGTATTTTTTTAAAAAGATGGTGATAGCAGTAAATTGATATATATATATGTTAGATAGATAATAAAGTTCTCTATCTATATAAATTTTATTTATAAACTTTTACAATTATTCGAAAATTATTATAACTTGCAATGAATATAATTGTAAATTGATAGTAAAGGAAAAGTATTAGTACTGATAAATTAAAAATTAGTAAAAAATTAATATATCAATGTAGAGAAACAAACGAATTTTTAAGATTTTAAAGTAGTAATATAAATTGCTATATAATTTCACCCTTCGTTTTTTCCAAAAAGAAAATACGGAGGAGAATTTTCTTGTCAACGTAATGGAGCACATTAGCTAAATTGATTTTACTATAATTGCAAAATTTATTAAATTTCACATTTCCAGTTGATGATAAGTGAGGTAATTTGAAGTAGTAGTAAAATTATTACATAGTTTTATCTTGTAATGGGAAAGTTGTAACAAAAATTTCTATTTGTTTAATGCATCGAAAGTAGTAATTATCATTCATCCTTTTCATGAAACATTTGCAATATTTATCCATTCTTTGTACTACTTTCTTCAGAAATTATTCTACGATTCTTTGAGATGTTGCTAATAGTTCTATTATTATTTATGATTTATTCTTTTTTTTTTATTCTTTTCAAGAAGCTAATTATTCTGAATATTAGATCATAATATTATCAATATTAGATTTTATTTTTTATTTATATATATTATATCATGATTAATCCACCATGATAACAAAAACGCTTTAATTTTTGTAGATATCGCGACGAACGAGTTAATAAGATACTAATTGAAGCTTTATTCTAATAAATAAAATTTAGAAATAATAAAAACAATTTCTTCACTCTCTAATTCAATATAAATTTTTTAAATAAATTCCCTAGAAAATCAGAAAAACAACATTATCTCGTATCGAATATCTATTTAATTTCTACATTTAGAATAATTAAATATCTATTATTAAAAAGAATTTCTCCAAATTATTCTATAAATTAAAAAAAAAAAGAAAAAAGAACAGCACTGCTTACATTCCACATCAAATATCAAATTAAATCTATCATTAAAATATTGAAAGTAACTTCTTCACTCTGTTCAATTCCAACAAATTTTTGAGAAATAAATTAAAAATAAATTCCCTACACATCGGGAAGAAAATCAGAAAAACAGCATCGCGTATATATCCACATCACATGATATTTAATCTATTTTATTCCAAAGTTACGTCCATGCTCGAGTTCTCGACAAACACCAATTACTTTGCCATTGCGCAATTACGTTTCCTCTTCTATCTTTCGTGTTTTCTTTTTTTCTTTCGTCCAAAATAACATCGAACAGCCGAATCGAATTGTTCGAAGCCCGTCCACGTTCGAAGCGTGTCCGCGCATGCGCGGATTCCCTGTGGGCGAGCAGGTGCTGCCACCTGCGCGCAGAAAATTACCAGCCAAAATCAATAGAGCAGGTGCATTTAAATTTCACGCAGATTCCCCGGTTGAATTAATTACCGGCATTAGCCTGCCCCACGGGGCTCGATGCAAGCTCTACGGCCAACTTTCCTTCGAATCGTTTCCGGTTCATAAATGCGCGCGCTATTCGAATTTACCCCGCGTGCTAGTAGACAATCCAATCGTAACACGTTCCTGGATGTGGTCCATTAGATCGGAAGAGGAATATCAGAGGGAGAAAAACGATTGCACGTGGTTACACGTTCCGTGAATATCTAATTTAGAGCAAAGCTTTCTCTATCCGGATGTTTCGGGTAATTGGGTTTGCGTGTAGTTTTTGTTTTTGCTTCGTTTTGTTTTTTCTTTTTTTCTTTTCTTTTTTTTTTTCTCTCTAATTGGGAAAAAAACTTCAGGAGAATGGGAATAAAAGCTGATCGGTTTCGAATATTTATAGATTAGAGAATTTTTTTTTTTTAGTGGAGTGTTGGTTGGAATTTTTATTCGAAGTTGTTAAATATATAATTTTTAGATTGACAATTGTTAATTGATTAGTAAATTATGATAAAGCTGTTATTTAGACAATTTTCGTTTTCAATAATTCTCTGCGAAAGATTTATATTATTTTGAAAATATAATTTTTGATTTAATAATAATAAAAATGATTAAATGAAAATAAATGGTTCAATCAAATATATATAAAATATGAAATCCGAATTTATCTTTTATTTGAATTATTATAATAAATTTTGCTGGAATATAAACAAATTTTTTATATAAAATTACATTCCTTTTCTCTATCTCTTTTTTTTTATCTAGGAAAGAGATTGAAGAGATAATAAGGAAAATTTAAATAGATGAACATAGTTCCACGTACGTGGATGAGTGAGATTCGAATTTACATTTTACAAAAATTTTCGATGGAATTTGCTGAAATATACTGGGTGAAATTTTTATACGAATCGGAGGAACGCGTTTTATTAAAATGGAAAATAATTTAGGCAGAACGATAATAAAGGAATTTGAATAAATGATAAAAAGGTTTGATGTGTACTCGTACAATTCGATTTCATTTTTTACCAGAGTTTTTAGCAAATTTTTGAAATTTTTTTCTACACGAAATTGGGCTTGCAAGTTTCAGAAATTGCATTTGAATGGAAATTCCGTTCAATACAGGTGTGAATATAAAATTTTGGTAATTATAATAGTAAATCGAATCAAAATAAAAAGTTATGATATTAAAATTAATATAATATGATTATAATTAGATACATGTTATTATTTATTCGATTATTAAAAACATAACGAAATTTCTCAAAACTAGAATTGTTTGATATTACAAGAGAACAATTCGTTCGATTTTTATTATTTATAATTCAATAACGATTCTGATTGCAATAAATTATTGCAAATATGACGATAGAATTTATTAGTAACTCTTAAATTTATACAATCCTCGAGAGTGTACAATTTGCAAATAATTTTAAACAACTATATCGCTCTTGGGGTTCATCTCTTAACAATGCGATAAACTATGACCCTGAGGATCGAGTTTTTGGCTCTTGAACGTGGAAAACACGAAGAATTTTTTCGACTCTATGAGAAAGAAAGTGTAAATATGTGCATTAAATTGTTCGAATAAAGAACGAATGATTTATAAAACAATTGAAACGTTACAAATCAGCACCACAAGTTTGTTAAGTTAATAAATATTTGAATTGTAAAATCAATTTCTAATCTTCAATCAATGTATTCTCGTAATTGTATGAACATGTCAATTTCTATTGGCTTCATCATCGTGTCTACGCAAATTGAATTGAACCACTTTTGATGATCAATAATTAGTAATCAAACATGCAAATGAATTAATAATGTAATTAATTATAGCTATCTGCGATAGTAATAATTAATAACCAACCGACATCTATTCTCCATTTAACGAAAATCCATTCATGAATGTATGTATCCACTTCAAATATCATTCAAAATACTTACAATTTTTTAATATCTAAATTTCTAATTATAATCTTCAAGCTTGAAATAATTTTTTATTAAATAAAATTCGTATAAATAAGATTTATATGCTTTCAATCAATATCAATAGAAAAATAAATTTTCAAAGTAAACGCAAAATGGCTCGTTACTTTGAAACATCTAGTAACTAGAAAAATCACTAGATTTCTACATCTCAAAAACACACTTGTTTTCTTCTCCATATCGCGTATAAAATTCATCTTCTGATATGAATATTAAACTCACCAAAGCATCTAGTAACAAAAACTCACTAGATCTCCATTGTTTTAATTATCGCCTAACTCTCAAATATCCGGAGATTAAGTTTCGTTAAATTATCCTGGTAATGTTCAAGATTCCGTGCACAAAGAGGTGTGTTTTGTGATTAAAAGGCGAGGAAAGAATTAGAGGAATGGAATGTTAACTGTGAGTAATAGGTAAATAGGCAAAGAGCATCAAAAAGGTCTGGAAATACATGGGAGCGTGTTCATAACGAGTTCGTTACGCGCTAAATTGTAACGTTGCCTAGGGAAAAAAAAATTTCTCGAGCACCACTCATCGCAATTCTAAATGACAATAATGGTTTAACTCGTTTTGTCGTTTGGTTTAATCGTGGATAATATAATCGTAGTGTTATCTGGTTGATATCAAAATTGAATTAAGAACAAGAAAAAAAACCGATGAATTAAATATTCTTGTAAATAGAATTCTTGTAAATAATTGTCGAAGAATAACGATAGTATAATTCTTTAATTCTATCGAATTTTAAAAATTTTATTTTCAATCTTAATGTTGTTATTGATTTAAATTCTGATAAAATTGAAAGTGAATTAAATGAGACACATTGAATCAATATAAAATTGTTATAATGTAATTGATAATTTTAATTTTTTTTTAAAGAGATTCAAAATTTCCTTCTTCCATTTATCTTCAACAATCCAAATAAGGAATGGCTGCATCTTAATTTCGCCCACGAGGCAATAAAATCGAATTAAGAACAGAAACAAGGAGGAAATAGCAATGCGGGAAAACGGATAAATGGCTAGAGTGCGTGTCGAGGCTCTTTGTATCTCGATCTATCGAATAAAAATCTCTCGAATCCCTCGAGTTCCTCCGCAATGAACGGATATATTTAATTATCTTCATTAACTTTCTACACGATGTGTGTATCAGCCTAACATTTCGAATGATCTCTTCGAATGGCTTATTATTAGAAAGGGAGATAAAGAAGATTGATAGAAGAAAAAAAAAAAATTATAAACGCACCATAACTCGCCGATAACCGGAAGTTCTTTCGTTTCTTGCTGCTAAAGTTGACTTTCCAACCAGATGAGCAAACATCCTAGCCATTTATACCCTGTTGTATGCGAAGATTTAATTGTAAAAGATTTAATTCTCAACTTTATATTCTCAACCTTATCTGTTTAGGAGAAGAGAGGTTACAATTCATTGTCAAATAATATTGTCTCGTAATAGCACAGCACCAAGGTAAAAGAAAGGATATGAATTGAAATTAAAAATTTGATACACGTAATTCTCAAGTTATATAATCTTGCGATAAGAGGTGATAGAAGGACTAATGGTACGCGAAAGAAAGTTCTTTGAAACCTGTCCATTTTTTATTCCTTTCCGGTTTTAAAAGTTGGAAAGAGCATTAAAGTTCAGTAAATATGTTAGAAAGGTGAAGTAAAAAATTTATGAAGTTGTATTAAATGTTATCCACGTGTTTTATCGTAATTCAAATTTAGGATAATTAATCGTTACTTTTTGCAAGGTGTGCATGTTTCCAATTGAAACGACGACGTAGGAAATACGGAATAAAAATTAATATTTATAACAAATAATATTCATTTATACGGATTGATCCATCTGAACATCTTTATGATGTGATAAATTGTACATAATTACAATCACATCGTAATTTACTATTTTCACTTTCTATCTATTCTCGGCCTCAACCATTTCCTCGAATCTTAATCAACGATTTTCGTTCATTCAGAATTCGTTCAACAGTTGTACGGGTTTCCCATGGCTCCACGTGATTCGCATGCTTTCACTTTTTTCCGTAATGGGGCGGTTTATATTATTTTTACCACGGGTCCCCATTTATACATAGGTGAAAGTATGCAATTTCGAGGAAAAATTCCGGCCAGGTTTAAACGAGCAACTTATATTACACGTAATTTCGTACCATTTTCGAAATAGTTTGTTAATTCATCCTTACTTTCCTTATCCATCCCCCATTGTTCCCAACATCGTGAACGAATTTTCCCTTTTCTTTTATTCCTATTAGAGAGAACGTCTGTTATCAAATAAGGCATGTAATTTGAATTCTTTCGATTGTTGATGATGATGATGATCTTGTGATCTTGAGAAAGGTGGTAATTTTAAAAGTTATTAGAATGATTTAGATTATTTAGAGAGAACACCAATCGTTCGAAGTAATCTCTTCAAACGGCTCGAATTCTTATTTTTGGGGCTAACTTAAATTCCACCAGCCCGAGACAAAAAAAATTCGTATAATTAAACCAGCCTACAAAGTTCCATTTCATACAATTTCCAAGTAACTCCACGTACGTTACAATCATTCGAACCAATTAAAAATTACGTATCGGAACTAGGCCACTACTGTCTCGAGAACTCTTGACTCGTTGTTACCTCATTGTTACGTTTTCTTTCTCGACGAATTCCAACGTGCAAGGTATATCTCGAATAAGACATCGAACATTGTTGCGACACCAAGCAGTTGATTCGCGTTCAGGTGTTGAGAAACAGGCGAGTTTTCAAATTGCGTCACGTTGCTCTATTAGTCGAGCATTTCTTGCTCGAGCGTAAGGTGGTTAGTTTGTGAACGCGTTTGTGAATAAGAGGAAGGGAGAGAGAGAGAGAAAGAGAGAGAGAGAGGATTATTTTATTTTCTCGGTAGGAACGCGTGAGATAGGAAGAAGTTATCGCTAATCGAGTATGAGAGTGTTTGCACGAATGATTTACTCGCGCTTGTTCAACGAGTGTGAATTAAGTATTATTACATAGTGTACATAGTTATCTCGTTTGGCAATTGAACGATTCATCGAGCCTTTTAATTTTAGTACGTTGTTACGATTACGTTGTGTGATCGTCGGTTTTTTCTTCCTTTTTTTTCAAGTCGCGATACATATGGATTTGATTTTCTTTTTATTCTTTTTTTTTTAAATTACGGTTTAAGGGAGATAGAGAGAGAGAGAGAGAGAAAAGAGAGAGAGAGAGGATATTTATTTTCTCGTGGAAACGCGTGAGATAGGAAGAAGTTATCGCTAATCGAGTATGAGAGTGTTTGCACGAATGATTTACTCGCGCTTGTTCAACGAGTGTGAATTAAGTATTATTACATAGTGTACATAGTTATCTCGTTTGGCAATTGAACGATTCATCGAGCCTTTTAATTTTAGTACGTTGTTACGATTACGTTGTGTGATCGTCGGTTTTTTCTTCCTTTTTTTTCAAGTCGCGATACATATGGATTTGATTTTCTTTTTATTCTTTTTTTTTAAATTACGGTTTAAGGGAGATAATTATTTAATGGTTAAAGATATTTTAAGAAACGACAGAATTTATTCGTTCGATTTAATTACTTTTCAACTTGTTCTCGAATGTACATAAATTATCCTGTTATCGATAACGGAATACCGGGATAAATTCCAGTATCCAGTATCTTTGAGTTATGAGAGGTTGATTGAAAAATGAAATGCGAGAAAAGATCCGGTCTGGAACCAGTCGATCTCGTATTTTGTAAGTATTACGTATCACGTTTTGACAGTGATAAATCGTACATTTATGTAATAAAAACAGACAGGTCTAATTATCTCGTGATCTAATATATATATATATATAAATTTAGTTTACCTTCTTACTTATTTCCATTTTTCCATCCATCCAGCTCTCCACTCTCAAAGAACTGGAAATCCTTACTACAAAAATTTTTCATTCCCTCTCAGGCGCCATAAATACTCTCCCAAGAAATGTTTAAATAGATAATTATATATTCATTCAATTATTGATATAAATAAATATATATACAAGTATAAATATATAAATAAATATACTTTAAATATACTCATTCTAATAATTACATATTTATTTAATTTATATTTGATTATTTATATGAGTACCAATCTCCCTCTTACTCGTGGAAAACAACCCGTTTTATTTCCTCCATTTCCAGCCGTTGGAAGGAGCCGGGTACACGGTCCAAATCTGTTCCATTCGTGTCGAACCGTTCTCGTTCCGTTAAGTAACGACTCCTTGCGCCCGGTAATTGACAATTAATGCGTAAATATTATCCCGTTGCCGGTTGCACGCAAAGTGGAAAGCGAAAGGCCGGCGCAAACAGAGCGCGACCCGTTCAAAACCCTGCCCCGCGTGGAATGTTGTTATCGCGCGGCTTTTCCGAAAGCCGCCTTTCCAACCCGCCGATTCCCTTCTTCGTCTCGAAAAAAAAAAATGTTGCAACGTGTTCCCCTCGAATTTTTCCCGAATTTTTCCATTTTTAACGGCGTTGGAGAAACAACGTTGGAGATAGCTGCACAACACCGTTCGTATGCAGCCAGGAAAGGTGTTTTCGATTATCGATTACCTCGACAGTTCGAGTTATTATCGATTCTGAGGAGAAATGAGGCGAGATATGGGGAAAGTTTAAAGCGCGCGCCAAGTTTAAATATATGTGGAGGATAGTTTGGATATTTGAGGGATTAGGGGATGTTCTGGTAATTCGATATAAAAGTAATTTCTCTTTTGAGATATGTATAGGATAATACGTATATAGGGTTATAAACAGAGAAATATTGTAATTTAATTTTTTCTTTTTCAAGCGTTAGAAGGCGTGGAATTTTTATTTTGGAAAATAATTTTCTGAAATTTACTTTTCGAGATGAATGGTTCCAATGGTGATGAAGTGTATTCGTTGTTCGAAAGAGAAAGAGAGAGAATCGAGTTAAAAAATTTATATCCCGAAAATTTGTAAATATCCTGTTTAATGTTGCAAGATAGAAAAGGTGATAAAAATGCATATGAATATGGAGCATAGGAGGGATGAAAATTTAGACAAACGTGGAAAAGTTTGGCCATAGGTTTCGTTGTAAAATTTAGATGTAAAAGTTTGAAAGGTGTTTGAAATGTTGCCCCTTTCGAAATCTTTCGAACTTTCTTTTTTTTCTTCTTCTTTTTTCGTTCTTTCTTTCACTACGACTTCGATCGTAGTTTCTATCGTATCGATAAATCCTTCCATGGTGATTGTTATTGAATTTTTATTCAGTTTACACTTTCATTCGATATAATTTATGTACTTTTTCTTTTTTTTTGTTTGAATTAAAATTTTACGATATTTTCTGTGTATCGCAATTTTTTAGTATTTTAATTTTCAATTTTCACGTGAAATTGGAACGAAGGATTGCGAAAATGGTAAAAAGTGCTGGAAAAAATGAAGATGTACGAATATTGTAGTATATCTATGATATTTTTTTCTTCTTTCACTTTTCTTTTTTTTTTTCTACGAATTTTTTCTGAATGTTATATATCGCTTGATATTCAGATTGAATATTGAAAATGTACGAGTATTGAATGTATGAATTATTCATATAGGAATATCTGTCCTACCAGTGGTTAATCTAAGAGTTACAGGACATTTCAAAAATAGAATATTCTATTCACAAGATATTTTTCTTCTTCTATTCTTTCTCTTATTTTTCTTAATCTTAAATATCTATTTATTATTGAATGTAACTATTATTGAATTTTATTCTCAATTTTATTGCAAATGTTTGAAAAAATTCCATCCAGCGAGAGAAATGGAAAAACGAATCTTGTTACAGGATATTTACAATTTAAAATAATTAACTAAAAATAAGAAAATTTAGTATAATTGTTATAGAAATGAATTGTTAGAAAATATTAATAGATTAGTTTGTGTAAGAGAAAAGAATATTTTTATATAACATATGCTTCGAAATGGTTTCTTAATTGATAGAAAGAAAAAAAAATCTTAAATGTTAATTTAGAATTTTAATCTTATTTTATAAAACGTTAGAAACTTTTAAGGAGATCCATGATCCATAAAATGAAGATCAAAATCACGCGATCACACAGTACGCTTTCGGAATTTATCTTTATGGAAATGAATATGCTCGAACAGAAAATATTTATTTCAAACCTTATTTCTTTTATATTCTTGTTTTACTTTATTTTTTTTTTTCTTAAATTTATCATTAAACAAATGATATTTAAAATGATCGAATAATTTCTGACAATAATAATTAGAAACATTATTATTTTTATTACAATATCTAACATCGTAAAATAAATACGAATGAACAGAAGTACATAAAATCAATTTTAATCAATTTTTTTTGTAATACGAGCTTTGGAATTTGTCAAGTGTGTTTCTCACTACTGTTAACCAACCGTTGTAACACGAGTAACTGATAGCTATTAGTCATGCTCGACGTTCAGTGAAATGGGAAACTATGAAATTAATACACCGTGGAGCTTCTGTTCGAGATAGGTTCATTGTTGTACCATGAAATAAGAGAAATATTATCTGTAAATCGATCGCACGTTAACGATTTCTTTCGTTGTCTAGCATTTAATAGCGAAATCAAATTCTGTTAATAACAATCGATAAGTTTCACTTAAACGCGTTAAATTACGCCTCAAATACAACAAAGTTTGAGTTCAACAATCGAAATCAAAAAAAAATATCTGGATACCAAAAGAAGCGGTGAATGAAAACAAGTGAAATGGTATATATACTGGAAAGAGAAAATAGAATAGAAGAAAAAGTGAGGTTAAGAACAAATATGGCGGACAGATGCAGAACGTCCTCGAGTGAAAACGATCTTCAAATTCTTCGTATATACTTACGTAAATACCAGACCGATCTGAGAATGGCAAAATCACATAGAGAGTGAGTCAAGTGCCATTACTTGTACATCGCCATAAATGTCGTACAATAAACACGTTCGATACTACGTTCTGCCTATTAATTTCGCATCGAGTTAACGATGAATGAAAAAAAAAAAAAAAAAGAAGAAAAGAAAGAAAAGGAATAACGTTGTAGAATTGTGAATAAACCAAGATGATTAATTTCACGGTAAAGAAAATTATTATAGTCAAAAATTATATTATCACAAAAATTCTAACTTATTATTTTTATCAGATGGTTCTCGAATATCCAAATACTTGGTACATTGATGTTATCGGTGTTCCAAAAATTTGAAATTTGTATCGCAAGAAAATTAAAGAAAATTCGAATAATTTTAAACGTAGAAAAGAGCGAAATAAATAAAGAGTGAAACGTATGTATGGAAAATAAAACGTATTGCAGCGTATACGACGAGTTATAACAAGTTAATCGAAATTAATTTCTAATTTACGTTTAACGGCGTATTATTTAACTTCCCCCTACCACTCGTACCAAACGTGACTGAATTTTTGCCAAGGTTTTACACGGTCGAGGAAAGTCTCGTTGTTTGTACCCGTGGTATACGTGCTGTTTCTCGCAAACGGACAGGTTTAAATAGACTTAAGAGGGAAACGTTCTCCTCTTAGAACGAGTTAGACAAGTTTGGAAACAGGAATCTTAAACTAGTGATAGTGTTTTGACGTTGTAATATCACGTTTAATTTATGCTGAAATTTCTTATTTTTTACTTTCAGAATTTTTTTTACTTTCAAACGAACAATCCAAATTGTTTGTCAATATATATATATATATATCGTTTTTAAAGCTTGTTACTCATTTATTTTAAAAGATTTTTATTTGGACGAGAGAAATCTGGATTTATGTATAGACACCCAGTATATTTACCTTATTTTCCTTTGATTTTTGTCTGGCTAATGCAATTTATCCAACAATTGTTACCAGAATTCGTTCGTAAACTTTGCTTATCTAGATGAAATCTTGTCGAGCACTCGATTTACCCGAACTTAACGTTGCATTCCTGTTACACGTTTCCAATTATATGCTTAAATCGAGAAGTGAATATCATGCCAAAAATCGGGAAATATTTATTTTATCAGCGTTAACCGCATTCTCGGTTCTAAAATTAACAAAATGCAAATATATATTATAAAATGAGATACTATTTGAAAATTTTTAATGCCTTCTCTGACGAATGATTATAAAAATATTTGTCATTAAATTCAAATATTTAACGAAAAGTTATTAATCAAAGAAAGATATTACTATCGAGAAATCGTTATGAACAAAAATATTCATTGCATATAGTATCATGTGATTAATATTAATTCTCATTGCACAAATCCATAGCTCCATATAGAACAATCATATATAATCCTATATATATATATATATATATATATATATATATATATATAGAGACTAAATTAACTAA